CTAGTCCACAATTTACACTTTTTTCCCAAATTTTAAAATTTTATTTTGAATTCATCCTAACTTTTGTCTTTTTATAGCTTTTTTTCTCAAAAGTTTGTTTCTAATATGTTTTTTCTTTAAAACTCATATTTATACAAAAAAAAAAACATATTTTCACATAAAAATCTTATTTTTTTCTATATAAAAACTGTTTTTAAATACTTTTTTGTATATCAAAATATCTAATTATAAAAATAGGTTTAGATTATTTGTATGAAGAAATTAAAAATAACCCTAAATTATACTATTAAATTATAGTTTTTCAAAAACTAGTTACAGTAGGTACCCTAAATTAAAAGTAACCCTAAATTATACTATTAATATAGATATTTTAATCTGTGTTCTATTTAGTGTGTATTCTTTTTTCTATGAGATTTTAATATAGTTGTTTATATATATATATATATTTCAATCTGTTGCATCTTTGTAAAATTAGATCATACACTCGATCACATATATATGACAAAAGGTATGTAAAGTTGTTCTAATCTCATATATGACAATCCATATTGATTTCAATAGGAGTTGTAACTATCAACGTTTTTTACATTTGGTAAATGCCATTTTCTACCAAAAACCTTCTTATCGACAAATGACAATTGCTCCATTCTAGATAGTTATTTTTTGTTATTACAACAAACAAAATTGACACATGAATCCGATTTTACAAAGAAGTTTAAATAAAGAGATCCAAAGTGATGCTGAAGTATATGTATAAACATGTATTCAACAAGAAACAAAAAATATGAAGTTTTCGATATGTAGCATTTTCTATTATTTAAACTTTTCCTATAAATGTGATTAAAAAACAAATAAATAATATTAAAATGAGTGTAACTAGTTTTTGACAAACTATAATAGTATAATTTATGGTTACTTTTAATTTCTTAATTGATTTTTTTTTAAGAGAAATCACATAAATAATCCAAACCTATTTTTATAATTAAATATTTCATATGCAAAAAAAGTTTTTTAAAAATAATTTTATATAGAAAAAATAAGATTTTTATGTGAAAATATGTTTTTTTTTTGTATAAATATGAGTTTGAAAGAAAAAACATATTAGAAACAAACTTTTGAGAAAAAAAAGTTGTAAAAAAACTAAAGTTAGTATGAATTCATAATAAAAATCCTAAAATTTGGACAAAAAGGGTAAATTTTGGACCAAATTTGTAAAAAAATTTAAAATCTGGGCTAAAAATATAAATTTTGGACTAAATTTGTAATAAATTTTTAAAACTGGGCCGAAAATGTAATTTTTGAAAGTTGGATGACCTGTTGACCGGGTCAAAGGGTTAAATTGAATACGATTACCGGTATTTGTAACTTAATTGAACAAAAAATATATATAAGGGTTAAATCGATTATGAGGCCAATAAGTAGAGATTTTATTGCAGTTTTTCCAAAAAGTATTTACTATGTATTGTACTTTAAATATTTTAGATAAAGTTTAGATAGCATACATTAAATAAAATGTATCTCCATGGTGATTAAAGTTGTTCTATTTTTATTTATCTAAATACTACATTTTATATGTTTTAGTTTAGGGTAATTATACGAATCGTTTCTCGTGCAAGTGTCAAAAGAAATGTTCGGTCTTTAATTTCAAAAATTAGCTCGAACTGTCCTTTATTTATTTAAAATTTGCACGTTTAATATAAATACTACATTTTATATGTTTTAGTTTATTGGCTTTTTTATTTTATTTACGATAATTAATACAAAATAAAATAGACTTTTTTAAAAAAAAAATTCATAAATGGTTTTTATATGAATATGGGGAGTCTCTTTCTCTCTCTCATACATAATGATCATGTAACTTTTGATTTAATAATAATAAAATATTTAGTAAAGAAAGAAAATTAAAAAATAAATATAATAACAAGAAGATAATCATTTTAATTTTACATCAAACCAAATAACAACAAAATTTGTTGGAAAAGAATATGTTTCAAATTTTGAAATTTTAAGTACCAAATCTCTAAAAAAAAAAAAAAGCAAACCACAAATATTATTTTTGCAGTTTGTCTAAATATAAACAAATTGTATGATAAGATTTCATACTAAAAAAAGATTGAAAAGCTAGAGGTGTAATATATACCATTGATTTCTGTCGGAGGACCTTAAATAATGGTGGATTTACGTTGATAAGTAACGTTTATGCATTACACTAATTAATGGTGCATATAATATTGCCTTTTTTTTAATAGCAAAAGTGTAATAAAAAGTCATCCTGCTAAGTAGAAATATACAAAAAGCGCCTAACAAGACATGGAAACAGGAAGCAAAAACACAAAAGTTTTGACACTTGTTTATCAAATATCAATGTGTTAGTTACTAATCATTGTTTTATGTCTGCTTGATTGCTTGTAATTACTGCACGAGGAAATATAAGACGATCACACCTAGACTCCTTACACATGCATCATGTGAGTTTTTAATCAAACGCTTTATTTTGAAAATATTTTGTATCAATCGGATTAATTATTTTTTCAACAACCATCTCTAGCTTTTAGGAATTGGAAAACGTGAATCTAGAGAAATGTTTTAGACATGCCACCTCACCTCGTTCTAACTCCACCATTCAATTATACAACCCCAAGCTATTCAATTATACAACCCCAAGCTAGTGTCTATATATAGTCAAGAACTTAACGGACTAGACGTACAACTTCAGTTCCACAATAACCAAAATGGTACATACATTCACCATATTGTTAGAGTTTTGTTATCTATATTTAAATAGGGAATGTCAGGTTTACATGGTTTCTTCATTGCTAAAATTCTTTCATCTCTTTTAGTAATATTTTATTGTGGATCCATATGCAGGCAGCCAATGCAGAATGCGTATGGGGTACAACTTGGGGAGGAAAGGGTGGATCCCGTACCTGGGAATTCATAATACCTGATGGTTCAACACTTACCAAGATAGCTTTAAGCAGTGGAGACGCTTTAGATTTCATCCGCTTCACTTACAAGGATGGGTATGGCCATACCCATTCTTCTGAAAAATTCGGTGGTGATGGTGGCTCACCTCATATGGTAAGCTTCTAATGCATCTGTCATGTATACACGTATCGAAGTTAGGTTCTTATTTTTTACAATATGATATTTATATTTGGGTTTCAGATCATCTTCGACGACAACGAGTACCTAATCGGGATTAGTGGACGTGTCGGATCATATGGTGACCACACCGTGATTACGTCAGTGACTTTCCAGACCAACATCAGAACTTATGGGGAATACGGCACAAACCCCGGGACTGATTTCTCGTTTGGGGTCACACGTGGTAAGTTTTCGGGATTCTATGGAAAGTGTGGCAGTTCGGTAGACTCTTTGGGTGTCATTCTTCAGGCTTGACATGATATATGACATCATGCATGCATGCATGTTGTGTTTGATGGAAAAAAATGTTAGATGGTCGGTCGTACGTCATTTTGGTTTCTAAATGTGGTAATCCTATATATGTTTTAAGATCGTATCTAGTTTCTTCAGATGTGAAACTATTAAAATAAGGTAGCATACCAAGTCAAGTACAATAAGCACCCTTGTTGTGCATGTGCATTACGTTTCTAATGTACCCCTTAAGCTTCTAAATGGATTTTTCTTGCTTTCTTCTTTGCAAATACTTCCACCATAAATTTATTTGGTTTTAGTTTCTAGCTAGTGTTGAGTTCTTTTTCTTATTATTTACACAATAATTTTTTCTTAGGGAATCCTTTTCTTTTGGAGTATTTGATGAGGACATGCACCAATTTATCTTTTCATACATGTAACCATATAAGGAAAAATCAACATATCAGCACTGTCGCTCAATGGAATCTATGGGATAAAGTGACTACAAAATTGACTCATTTACGACAGCCAAATCCGTTCAATCAAATATCTGGAATATGAACTTGGAGAGGGAATGAAATATAGGAGCGGAAAATAAAAAAATATTAAACTTTATTTCCCTTAAATTGTATTAAAAGTAATTACATGTTTGGTCCATATGGTTGTTGAAAATAACATCTTTTAGTCCATAAGATTCATTTATTGCACTGATCATCCTTCATTGTTTTTTGGCTGTCCGATTACCTCCTAAACTTAACTGCCTTGAAGGTGGAACCATTAAGCCCCTTCATGTGCTATGCATATGAGTGTATTTTGGTCTTTTCATCTATCCTTTCACTACTAGAAACTTGAGTTTCAGCTACGGATTTTGCTACGGATTTATTCTCTAGCAAAATTTAGACTTATAGCTAGGAAAAAACGACAGATCTACCATGGTTTTGATAATTATTTTATTTATTAAATATATGGAATATTAGTGAGGATTTACTGAGGGATCAGCTATGGATCTTACAAGTATTTAACGACGGACGACTATTCCTCGCTAATCACTCGAAAAATGAAGACACTTAGCTAGGGTTCAGCGAGGGATAAAAAATTGTGCCATATGGTATGCGTTTAGCGAGAGAACGACGACGGAAACTTTATTTGGGTGCGCGCATTTTCTTTTTTTTCTCTCGCTGAAATTGACACACCCAATTCCATCTTCACGAAGGCAGTGTAACTTTACTTCCCTCCAGATTTATCACTCTTGACTAAGTGAAATTAGCTTCTGCTTTATCTCACTATCTCTGTTCGAGCAGATGACGATGCTACTCACCCGATTTCGGCAACCTCGATATCTTTAAACTTGAAAGTATTCTTCGTTAACCTCCGATTCAGGTAAATCTCATCCCTCTTAGGTTAGTTTTAGTTCAATTTCACAATATACTTTGTTAGGGTTTAATTTACCTTGAAAGTTTCTGGTTACTGTGTTTCGTAGCCATATGAAATGCCATCAATTGCAAGTTAGGTTCAGGTCTACCATCAATTGCATCTATATAATAATAGACACTTAGAATTGGAACTTGAGTTAGGGCTTGATTCATCATAGTTTGTCTTCCAGTTCATGAGAATTTAAGGATTCATGAACCCTTACATTTGAATGTAAACATTGTTATGTATTTGAATGGAACCGATTCCACATATGACGCATGAAGCGACTCCAACACTCTGTTCAAATAAAACCCACAATAACGTCAGAAGGGTAAATTGGGAATTTACTTCATGTCAAATCAAAAGGGGGCTTACTTGAAACGTCGACCAGTAGGGATGAAAAAGAGCAACAATCGTTCCCAAAATTGATTTCCAGGAAGACTATCGATTGACATGTAGGCGAAGTAACCCCAAAGAACTGAAGTGGGAATCATTCTGATAGCAGGAATAGCAAAAACTGCAAATCCCACAAGTGTAGATTGAAGTAAATTTGTGACTCGCTGTTCATTGACTCTAACAGGTAAATAAGCCTCTATGTGTTTTTCGGGGTCAAACTTGCATCTTCACACCAAACTGAAACGCAGCTTTTGGCATGGCTTCCTAATGTCGCCCATTCCTCTTCTGTCTCAAAGTCCCACCTATGAAGCCAACCCTTTTCCTGTTTTATACATATTACATAATTAACATATTTCATCTCCCATTAACATACAATTGTAAATGAAAAAAAACACTTACTCGACCACCCATATCCATTTTGGATAAATCAGCTTCATCATCACTATCAACAACCTCACGATTATATTCTTGATAACCCGGATAACATTCTGAATAGCTCTCGGATATAAAATTCGGATCTTTCTTACGAGCATATTTTTACCTTAAATGTTGAAGCCTTGTATCATCCCGCTTAAACACCGACCCTAAACCTCTATCTTTCTCTTCTTGTGTCATTAAATGTGGGTCCCCTTCTATGGTCAAACCTCCTTGCATATTATACATTTGACCATCTTGGTGGACATATTGTTCGGGGTACCCCATCGGCTCCACATATTGATACTCCTACTGCCACTCTCCCTGATAGCCTTGTACTTGCATATCATCATACCCATTATAAAAATTTGGTAAATTGTTAAGCAAGGTGAGGGTAAAATATTAAATAAAAGTATTTTGCTATTTTTCTCACTGTTTGTTGCCAGTCTTGAGATGGGTCCGAGGGTGGAACAGGGCCATAAGCTGGCTCATTGAAATTGGAAGGTCTCTCTTTTCTTTTAGGAGATTCTTCCATGTCTTCTGACAATGGGCTTTGGCTTATATCTTTACTAGGGACAGAATAGTCAATTCCTTCTCCTACAAAGATGTCATCCTCCTCAACACGAGCAACAGGGGGCTCCACTTCAACTTTCTCTATTTCATCGGAATGATTGCTTCTGGGAGGTGGTGGTGGTGGTGGTGGTGGACCTGGTGGTGGTGGTTACACAATTGTTCTGTTCATTACTCAATTTTCAGATGGTTGCTTCATTCATCAGGTTTTGCAAATCAGCTCATGTGAAACCTGGTGTTCTCCTAGCAACCTTATCAAAATCCACATCTTTTGCAAGTGATTTTCCCCTTGAATGCACCTGTGCAACATATAAGAAACTTTAGATGCTTTTTTCTTTTTGACTAATTTCATGATCGAACCTGAAGGATCCTGACTCTACCAGCAACATCAGGCCGGTCAACTGTCACCTATCGGTCAAACTGCCCAGGTCTCAACAAATGTTGTTCCCCATTCCCTGAAAATATAATCATTTACAAATTATTAAAAAAAATAGAAGAAAATAAGCACATTGCTAATATAGGAAAAAAAAATACCTGATAATAAAGATCGATATGATCTGAGATAGATGAAATTAATATAAATACTTATAATTTGTTTAGATTTTTGAATGCAATCTTTTCTTTATTTTTAGATGGATTCCACCCAAAGTATCCTTGTTTTTACCTGCTATTAATCTTTACAAATTATTGATGACACAAACTGCTGTCCAATTTTTTTTTCCCGTTTCCTGTACCAAGGGTACTTTAGGTATTTCATATTATGAGTCATCATCTACAACGTTTTTATTAACAAACCAGATTTGGAGGTTTTATTTATCCAACAATCCAAATCAAATTTTATATCATAGCTGAGTTTTTTCAACCCTTGAATGCATGTTTTTATTAACAAACCTGAAACATCTATTTCTGCAGCTTCAACTTCAACTTCAACTTCCTCCTCCACATCTATTTTTGCAGCTGATATCAATGTCACTCCTCTAAGACAGGTACACCATTACAAACTCAACATAACTTAATAATGTTTTTTAGAACATTTGTGCTAAATGACCACTATACCCTTCTGTTTGTCTAATTCATATGGACTTAATGTGAGTAAATCACCATTTTACCCTTCTTGTTTTGTGTATTTACTTATCGACATAGATATGAACTTCGTTAACAATTGGATCGTCTCAGATCTAGAGAGAGAGAGACAGAGAGAGAGAGAGAGAGAGAGAGACGGTCATAATTATCCAGATTTCTGGTGATGGTTACAAACTTCTTTTCTTCAAGAGACTAAACGTGCAACATTTAAACTTATAATGGATAGTCTGAGTTGATTTTTAAAAAATATGAATTTAAACTTATAATGGATAGCCTGAGTTGATTTTAAAAAAATATGAATTTAACGTACAATTTGAAACTTGCATCAGGGACCAACTTTGTAATTTACCCAAAAAAAAATATAAAAAATTAAATACTCTTCTACATTTTGTTTTTACATATCTTTCTACTTATATATAATAATAACATATGGACAATACACCACTAATTTACTTTTAATTACATCTTTTAAAATTGATACTTGTCTTGATATAAATAAAAATATGAAGATATTTAATTTACCACTAATTTACTTTTAATTACATCTTTTAAAATTGATACTTGTCTTGATAGAAATAAAAATATCAAGATATCTCAAAAAATATTGTAAATATGAAGCATGATGACCTCAGACAAAATTCACTTAGACAGTTGTATAAAGGGCTATTTTTAAGTTTAACCATTTTTACCACGATTTCCGCCGATTAAATATTGACAAGTTTAAATGTATAGTCATAGAATTTGGAATTTAAGTTTATCAAACTAATTTGACAACTTACATATTTTGGGAAAATCTATCCAGGTAGGTACATGGGTGTCACAAACTAAACATATTGTTGACTTGTTTAATTATTTTGTTAATACGGTTTTTTTACTTAATTTCCTTATTTTATTTGTTAAATTAGTAAATGAACAATATATTATATTTAACTTATAGTTCTAAACCCAAATCTGAAATTAATAATATTTGATTTTATATGATCAGTAAACAAAACTTCATCGACCCAACCCAATGATGAATCACACATGAAAAGAATTTTACGAAGTGAGAAGTTATAACTATGACAAAAGAAAAAGCCCAAGAAGAAAATATGCCAAATGGCAAATACTAGTTGGCTTGATTGGCTCATGGATAAAGATCGATATGATCTGAGATAGATGAAATTAATATAAATACTTATAATTTGTTTAGATTTTTGAATGCAATCTTTTCTTTATTTTTAGATGGATTCCACCCAAAGTATCCTTGTTTTTACCTGCTATTAATCTTTACAAATTATTGATGACACAAACTGCTGTCTAATTTTTTTTTTCCCGTTTCCTGTACCAAGGGTACTTTAGGTATTTCATATTATGAGTCATCATCTACAACGTTTTTATTAACAAACCAGATTTGGAGGTTTTATTTATCCAACAATCCAAATCAAATTTTATATCATAGCTGAGTTTTTTCAACCCTTGAATGCATGTTTTTATTAACAAACCTGAAACATCTATTTCTGCAGCTTCAACTTCAACTTCAACTTCCTCCTCCACATCTATTTTTGCAGCTGATATCAATGTCACTCCTCTGAGACAGGTACACCATTACAAACTCAACATAACTTAATAATGTTTTTTAGAACATTTGTGCTAAATGACCACTATACCCTTCTGTTTGTCTAATTCATATCTATTTTGATTCAGCCTATTGACATGTTCAACATTTAGGAAAACAAAAATAAAAAACATGGATTGGTTGTAATTATGAAGATTGATTACAACATTTAGTATCTATACCCAATCTATATGCATGATTAAGATAGTCATATGACAAATAACGAAAATTACAAGAATAAATATTATCCATCTTGAACATGTACCTCCACAATACAATAAGCACAATGAATATACTTTGAAATGTTAATGACTTCATTTTTTATTAATAGATTATATAACATAGTCACTTGTGTAAACATATTGAAGCTCTATCTTATTCTTTGCTATATGTCTATCACTTAGAATTTATTTTATTACTTTCTCTCCTTTCCGGTTCTTGTTTATTCCCAAGGATTTATTGTCATCCACTTCTTCTTATTTTGTTGTAGCTAGTTTTTATCTAATCTCTATCTAGGTTCTGAATAGTAGTTATATATTTTGTTGTAGCTAGTCATTATGTCAACACGTAGTGATAGAGATTGGATGTACAAAAGATTAGATCATGGGTATCTTAGCATAGCATATCATGCATCCGTCAAAGGATTTCTAGATGTTGCTTTTTCTAATGAAGCAACTGTTGATGGAGATTATATTAGATGTCCTTGTTTTAAATGCAAGAACATGTATTATAAAACAAGAGGTGATGTAGAGCTTCACTTGTTACAAAACGGTTTCACTCCTAATTACACAACTTGGTGGGCACATGGTGAAAGAAATACGATATCTCAGCATGAGGAAGAATCTTCTAATCCGATGCAGGATCCGATGGAAGATGATGATGATGATGATCTTAATGGGTGTACACAAATGTTGATGGATGTAATGGAGGAACTCCCGAATCCAACTGCCAAGGGGTTCTATGATATGTTAGAAGACGCTGATGAACCTTTGTGGGATGGATGTGAAAATTATTCAAAATTACAAGCTGCAACAGAGTTGTTGCATTGGAAGTCAGAATACAATATATCTGAGGCTGCCTATGATCACATACTTCCTATAATTAAGCGAATGCTACCCAAAGGTGAGAAACTAGTTGAGAACTTCTATGAGACAAAGAAGCTTTTGAAAATAATTAGACTCCCAGAAAAAAAGATTCATGCTTGCAAAAACCATTGCATGATATTCTATGGGGGCAGATTCGGATTTGACTAAGTGTCGGGTGTGTGATCATGATCGGTACAAGAGTGGCAGACTGCCTTATCTGGTTATGAGGTACTTGCCGATTGCTCCTAGACTCCAAAGGTTGTATTTAACAAAAAAACGGCAAAGCAAATGAAATGGCACTATGAACATCAGACCAAACCGGGTTTGATGGTCCATCCAAGTGATGGTGAGGCTTGGAAGCATTTCGACTCATTGCATCCAGAATTTTCAAGTGAACCACGGAATGTTCGCCTTGGGCTATGCACCGATGGGTTCAGTCCAAATAACTCAAATACAACCCCATATTCATGTTGGCCTGTTTTCCTTTCAATTTATAACTTGCCTCCTTGGATGTGCTTAAAAGAACCATATGTTCAATTAAGCATAATTATTCCTGGAAAAAAGAGCCCAGGTCAAAATATAGATGTGTTTCTCAGGCCGCTAATTGACGAGTTAAAGATGCTATATACAGATGGTATTGTGACTTATGATGCTTCGACTAAATGCAATTTCACAATGAAAGCTATACTTCTTTGGACAGTTAGTGACTTTCCTGCTTATGCAATGTTATCGGGATGGAGCACACATGGCAAGTTAGCATGTCCGTATTGTATGGGTGAGTCGGGGTCATTTCGGTTACACCATGGTAGTAAACCATGTTGGTTTGACTGCCATCGAAATTTTTACCTGAACAACACACATATAGAGGTGATAAAATAGGATTTCTGGCTAATAAGGTTGAGCGATCTAGCCCCCCACCAATATTAACCGGTGATCAAATTGGGAGCAAGTACGACACTTTCCAACTGTTTATGAAGGCAAACCTTTTAGAGCGAAGAATGCAAAATTGCCTGGTTTCGGATTACTCATAAT